AGTAATTGATATTTGAATACTCACAACAGTGACAAGTATTTTGAATTGGTCTACAGCAGTCTATTTGTGCTATTAATGAGAAGGATAAAAGTAAATACAATCAAACTCAGTCGTTAAATTTCAGAGTGATGTCCGATGGCCAACAAGTGCCGAATCAAAACCAGGGCGGAGCTCCGTCGCATTTAATAGCTGCACTAAGTTCACGGGGCGGGGGTGGTCCCCCACAGCAACAGCAGATTCAGCAAGGAGGCGGGGGTCCGATTCGTGTGCAGTTACAACAAGGACGTGGGCCTCCGATAGTGCCATATCCACAGGGCGGTCAGCCAGCTCCACAGCAACTCCGGACGGTCCAGCAAGTATATCAACAGCCATCGAACGGTCCTCCTCAACAACGAATCGTCCATCAAATTGCACAACGCCCAATGCCGCAACCAATGATGCGAGTCAGCAGTACACCACAGCCGGCGATGCAGATCGTTCATACTGGCCCTCCACCACAACCGCAACAGATTCATGTATCTTCTTCGCCGATTATGGGACCTCGACCACCACCACCACAACCCACCCGCTCTCAGATTGCACCATTGCCTGGTGGTCAGCCGCCACCTCCTGGAGCCAACGTTCAGCAAATGTTAGCTCCGCCCAGTTCAACAGGTTCTGTGATGGATCGAGCGCGCATCGACGAGCTGACAAGGCAAATTAGCAGCCATACGGTAATGGACGATGTTGTTAAGGTAGGTTTACTGTTTTATGACAGTTGAACTGTTTGCCTATACATTTATTCAAAATTAAATCCATGGTCAGATTTTGGCATGTAGATGTACTTCTGTTTTTTTATGCTCGAGATATTAATTTTGGTTAAATTCTAAACTAGCCTAGGTCTATGAGTGAACATTTGACGGTTAGGCGCTAAACACTGCTCTGGTGTTCAGGGATAGGTTCTCGCGCCATATCGCTATTAGGCAATCGGGGTGTCTCCTTCCAGGAAGAGTAGAGGTCATCTAATATAAAATTTGTGAGGCTTTGTTGTGACTTAACCAGGGAATGCCTGAGTGCAGTAAAAATGTGATATTGGTGAGCTCAAAACATGCTAGAGGATTTTTTTGACAGAAGTATTTGAGGAAATATGAAGGGGTGAGTGTTCAGGATTTGCGATTCCATTATACTCATATGATCAAGGTTTCGGGATAGGGCACATTCAGCTTCGCCATAGATTCGTTCGGCAATCAGTGTACATATCAATTTTCATCTCGCCCACAAATCTCTCCAATGAACGCAACCGAACACTAAGGAATGGTGGGCTTCGTACTATGCGTCTTCCATGATTGCAACATCCCCACATTGCTGTTTTTTGGTTCCAATTTTGGGAGTTCCGTTATGAATTCGACTGGAAAAGATTCCATAGAGGACACTTTGAATAATCAAATAAGAACGCTCGCGGTTTTCAAAACGGAGGGTAAGGTTTTGAGCGATTTCGTTCAGGAATTTTGGTAGTCCCGCAGACGTATTTTCGACCGTTTGTAGTTTGGGTGTGGAATAGATTACTTAACTGACTGTCGCATTTCTTTCTTATTCTGTTAAAAACGGCTAGGTGTAGGTGGTTCGTTGCGATTTTACACGGTCGCAGAATGAGGCTGGTGGTAATGGTCTCAGAGATAATATAGGATGGCTAGATATTTATTGATTTACAGACTCGGGGCTCAATAAAATCATGTCAGGGCGTACTATATGTATGGGGGAATGACAAAACGACGAAAACGGATCTGGGAACCATGAGAGAATGGTCCAAGATCGGGAAGCGCATCGAATAGAGACGGAACGGAAGGGAATTTGTACTTTGACGGGGCGTTAATAATGCCGTCCTTGTTGCTCGGGAGCATCGTCGACGTGTTGGTGCACCTGGCGTTCAATGTCGTCCGATGGATCACACCGCAACCAACAGTTTTAGCGCTATCAAAGCAACGTATGCTTCTAATAAAGAAAGTTGTGAAGAGCCATAATTGATGTCCTTTTTTGTTGACGGGTATTGTCCATATGTTGTAACCTTTGAAGTCCTCTCCGAAATCGGCTGATTATGAAACTTTAATTTTGTTCAATGGTTTTATGTGTATTTATATAGTCAGCGTCAATATTTTTGCGCCTTTTGAGCAATGTTTTCGTCTTCTTTTTCTTTTTCTTGTAAAAAATGTAACATTCGCCCGTGGTTTTGACTGTGGCAATACGATTAATTATTTATTCCTTGTTTTTTTGTAAATAAAACATTGTCATCTTGTTTGTGTTTCATTTGTGCTGCCCATGCAGTGCGTATGTTACGCTCCATTTCGTCGACTCGTTATCTTGTTTGCCATGCCGATTAGTGCTGCGAATCACAGCGACCTTTATTGACAAACGCTCTCAGTGTTCACGGAGTTTTCTTAGTAGTTTAACGACGGTCGTCGAATTTTTCTCGCTTTTGTGATGGGACGAGTTTCTATGGCCCGCGATGAATTACCTTTCAAGAGTGCTGTACTATGTCTTCAACGAAGCGCTATTGTGTGCCTTCAATGTTCTTCATTTGAAAAAAAAAACTACATAGTTTGAAGTCATATAGCTGATCTAGATGGAGCAAGAATTTTTTTCACAATTATCAGCTGCTATAAGCAATTCTAAGGAAGTGAGCTCATTTTGTGGGATTTTTTTCTGTGGGGCGGGGCTGAGATATGACCTGTTTTGATTCAAAAATCTGACGATCCCATTGGTCGCCACTGTAGAAATGTTCTCTGGACGTAAAAGGTGTGCCCTGCATTACTTTTCGTTTTGAAGTCGGTTGGTGTTTACATTGGCGCTAGCTCAGTAAAAGTGAACCCATGTCAAGTGGCGTGTAGGGGCACCTGGGTGAAGAAGGTTTTGTCTCGTACAGGGATAATCATTTCTTGCTTAGCCCGTTTCACGCCAGTTTTTGAATTGAGATGGCATGTGGCGACATTGCTCTCCCTCTAGGCCAAGCACACCACGAGTCGAGAAAAAGTCGTTGTTGGGGGGAGGGGACTCCGCGGAGCAGGTCCGTTTGGTGGGATCAGCAGTTCATTCTTGGAAGGGTGGGCAGTGCTATTTTCAGTGATTCAGTG